AAGGATATTGACACTATTGTACAAAAAGGGAGATAGAACGGATATAAGAAAGTATAGACCAATCACATTACTACCAGTAGCATACAAAATTCTAGCAAAAAAGCTAGCAAATAGAATCAAGAAAGTCACGGATAAATGCTTCCACCTGGATCAAACAGGATTCATACCCGGAAGATACATACTAGACAATGTAGTATGCCTTAATGAGGCGACCAAGCTTATAAGGGACAGAAGACTACAAGCAGCCATCCTATTCTTTGACTTCGAAAAAGCCTATGATCAAGTTAACTGGGACTTCCTCCAAATGTGCATGGAAAAGATGGGGGTCGGACCAATCTTTCGCAAATGGGTGAGGGTGCTATACTCGAGAGCGAGAGGACAAGTACAGGTGAACGGCTTCCTTTCTGAGGAATACAAGATGACGAGGTCAGTAAGGCAGGGAGACCCGTTAGCGGCGCCGATTTTTCTTTTCGTAATGGAAGCAATAGCAACATATTTAAGGAAGGACTTATTAATTGAAAGACTACAGCCACTAAACAATACACATAACAGACAAATCTACCTGCCGACAACTATGCTCTTCGCAGATGATCTCACAGTCTTAATAAGAGCGTCGGACTCTTCATTCCAAGCGCTAACAAAAGCAATGGAAGCATTCCAACTGGCATCAGAAATGAAGATAAACTGGAAGAAGACAGACGGATGGTGGAATTTGGATCAACCCCCACCCCCGATCACAGAAACAACGCAGGACCCGGTAAGATTTTTGGGAACTTCAGTATCTTTGGCAGGCACTAGTGACTCAATAGCTGACAACTTACTAGAAGTAGTCATGAATAAGTATATAGGGTGGCAAAGGATTTATACCTCTCTAATGGGTAGGGCTCTAATCATCAACACATCAATATTCTCGATGACATGGTATATAGCCTCAATATGGGACCCCCCCAAGCAATTTACAAAAAACTTAAGAAGAAGGGCAGCAGCGTATCTTTGGACAGGAAGTATGTCATAAGCACATGAGAGCATTGAAGGACATGCATGGATCATGAACAAATATTGGACACCCAGGAAGGAGGGAAAAAGGATAAGACCAGGAAGAACAACCCCAACCGGAGACCCACCAAGCAAGCATTGGGCCAACCTGATTGGTTCATGGAGAGAGACGTTCCCTTAAAGACGAAGGGGCCCATCGACCACGGAAGAAGTGTTGCGCCAGCCCCTGTTTGGAGACGAAATGTTGACGGACGGAGAAGGAAAGCCATGGACCTTAAAGGGCGGAGACAAAAGGTGGAGAAGATGGGTAGAGAACGACATATGGAAAATAGAACATATATGGGACAACGAGAATAAAAAATGGAGAACGGTCAATGAACTGAGAATGATCTTGAGGGGGCATCACAGACTGCAGAAAAATTTAGAAGATCTAATTGACAGCGTACCCATAGCTCGGAGATCCCTGCTGAAAAAGAACAAAACATGGAAGAAGGGTGACTGGGCAACCTTGAAGATACAGGAAGCACCTTCGGTAGCCCTACTTCTAAAAAAACTATCGAAACAAGACCCAAATCTTGCCACATTTGAGGTATATGAACTTAAACACACAGGGAAATCGATCACACTAGTACGCGGAGAGAAACTTGAGGAACTAGAATTTAATACGAGGGACCTGAGAAAGGTCAGAGAGCTCAAAAATGAGCAGAGGAAAGGGAGAAAAAAGAAAGGAGAAAGAAAGGACCCAACCTGGCTTTTTAGGCCAAACAAGGACATAACAGAATTAGAAGTTGATGAGCACTGGATTAGGGCCTCGTTAGAGTGCAGGTTTTTCGCGCCGGTAGCGTCAAACCGCCGCAGGGCGTAACTGCGGGGTATCAGCGTGGCCTGTGGGAACACGCCGACGCTGGCCGGTCGAGGTGAGGGGCGGGGTCAACACGGTGACGCCGCGCCATCGCCGGTCTGACCAAGCTGGCGGGAGGGGCGCCGGATGTGGGGTGGCCGCTGAGGGGGCGTGTGTCTACGGGAGCCGATTGGAGCAAGTGATACGTGGGCGACGAAGGGGAAGAAACCCCACATGGCGCACGTGTTGAGGGTACTTGCGTACGGACTTGGGCGTGAGAGACGTGGGAGAACGCATTCAAGCAAGCAATCGACGGACATCAGCGGGTGGCCAAACGAGGTTCGGATCTTAACGGGGCAGGTGTGTTTCGAGCAAGTGAGAGCGGGGTTGCGGCGGATCGCTGCATGGGAGGAGTGTGCAGGGGCCGAACCGCCAATCGCTGTATGTGAGGAGCGCGTTGGAGGCAGTCGGCCACAGCATCGGCAAACAACGGAAGGCCGAGACGGCACATATGCGGCTTCCCAGTGGTGAAACGAGGTATCCTGCAGAACGGTTCATCACTAATACACGGGAAAGGGGCTGGAAAAGGGGTTGGAGTGGGGAGGGGGAAGGACGAGGGTGGGGAGGGGAAACACGTGAAAGATCGGGGAGGCGTAGGAGGAGGTAAACATCACAGAGGGTGAAGAGAATGAACAAGAAAGTGGTAGCAACATAAACAGGGAGGGAACAGGATTGGGGAAGGGAGAAAGGCAGGGACGAGGGTGGGGAGGGGAATCACGTGAAAGGTCAGGAAGGCGCCGGAGGTGGTTTAACATCACGAAGGGTGAAGAGAACGAACAAGAAAGTGGTAGCAACGTAAACAGGGAAGGACCAGGATCGGGGGAGGGAGAAAGGTAAGGAAACAGGCGGGGAGATCAAGGACAAAGTCGAGAGAACGGGATCAGGGAAGGGAGAAAGATTGGGGAGAGAGTGGACAGAGTCGAATCCCAGGGAATAGGAAGACGCGGGCGGGATGGGGCGCCTTGACGACGTGGAATCGAAGAAGGAGAGAGGGTGGCTTAACATCACGAAGGGGGAAGAAAGCGAACAAGAAAGTGGTAGCAACGTAAACAGGGAGGGAACAGGATTGGGGAAGGGAGAAAGGCAGGGAAACAGGCGGGGAGATCGAGGACAAAGTCGAGAGAACGGGATCAGGGAAGGGAGAAAGGTAGGAAAATAGGTGGGGAAAGAGTGGACAGAGTCGAAGCTCAAGGATTAGGAAGACGCTTGACGACGTGGAATCGAAGGAGAGAGTTCTATCGGTGCTGGGGAGAGGAAAAGAAGAGGCAGGGGGCAGGCAAGGGAAGGAGGGAGGAGGAGGTAGTCGGAGCAGGGGCAGAGGTCGGAAGTCGACAGGCGAAACGTAGAAGGGAGGAGCACAAGGAAATCCCGGGGAGGAAAACGACTGGGGAGCGTAGATGCAAGTTTTGGGATGGGGGGGGGCGAGGGGACAGGGATCGGACG